AAGCAGCCGAGGAGATTATGTTTAAGGTAGGTGAAATGGTCTATAAGCAGGTAGCAAAAACGGCGCGGAACGACAAGACGAAGCCGGTCTTTAAAGGGCCATACAAAATAATCCATCTTCACCACAACAATGTAGCCGAAATAATAGGTAAACACCCTAATGCTAAGTTTATAAGAGTACATTACAAACTCTTAAGAAGACCACACCTTGTTACAGGACACTCATCGCAGGAGCCTTCGTGCTCTACGCATCCGCCAACCTGACACTGACTCCTGTAGATAACGTTAACGGGATTCTGTTGCTAAAACAAGGACAAGTCTTAAGGCAGGTGGACACTTTTAGCCTGGCTTGCGTGTATAATGTAACTTACATTCACGAAGTTGCACTAAAACTTACAGCTCTCTATGTTAGCACAAAGGCAACCGAAAATAACGAGAGTCTACATAGATCATATAAAGATCAAATAGAATATAGTTTAGATTTAATAAGTAAGAAAATTATTTTTGTTGCTCCGCATCATAGAGTTAGAAGAAGCATTATTAACGGTTTAGGTAATATTATTAAATCCATTACTGGTAACTTAGTTAACGAAGATGCACTAAAATTTATAATAAAGAGTAAATAATATTAAACATTCGCAAAAACAAACTCTATTTCTGGCAGAAAATACAATTAAAGAATTTAGTAACCAAATAAAAATATTAAATAATAACCAAAACAAACTTGACGATATGTTATCAAATGCCACATATAATAACAACTTGATATTAAAAGAAATGCACTTTTTAGATCTATATTGTATACAAATTAATCTTAGTTTACAGATAGTTTTAGGAAAGTTAGCTATTTTAGAAGATGCAATGACATTTGCTCAATTAGGTGTCATGCATCCTAGTATTATATCCCCCCATAATTTAATTAAAGAATTACTTGGTATGAAGAACTCGCATTCGCTTTTAACTGTAGATGGTATTAGCATGAGTAACATTTATAAGATAGAAAAATCTATAATAGTTAAAGCTTACAGCACAGAACACACGCTTACATTTATCCTAGAAATCCCATCCATAGATAACAACCTCTATGACCTTATCCATATCTACTCCATCCCAAACAAACAAAACCTTACCATAATCCCTAAGTCCAAATACCTTGTACTGGGAAGCGATGAGTACGCTTACCTGGAAGAAGACTGCAAGAAGATCACCCAAGGCACTCAGCTCTGCTCGACGTTGAATACACAACCTATGGACAAGACCGAAGACTGCATAGTATCGCTCATCAAACACCAAGAAACCAACTGCACAAGAGCAAGAATGAATCTGAAAGAAGACAAAATAGAAAGACTACAAGATAACAAGTGGCTGCTCATAATACGAAACGAAGTCATCATCAGGATCCATTGCGGGTCAAAGTCTGAGTACAAGAGGATAACTGGACTCCACATCGCCAGCATCACCAGTGACTGTCAACTGAAACTCCGGAACAAAACCCTGAGAAGTCACACTGACAGCATATCGATTGTTGTAGTCATCCCACTACCTGATCAAGCACCAACACCCACTAACAATATTCGGTTCAACCTGAAACTCGAGGACATCCCACTAGACAGCATCCACGAGCTACTAGATCGCGTCGAAGACATCCAACAGAGTAATGACTTAGATTGGCAAATAATCATGGCTACACCAAGCTGGCCCTCCATAGGCATATACCTCGTCATCATAACGTTTGGCATCTGGAAGCTTTACCAGTGGAACCAAGGAAGACGGACCCAGACTAACGATCGCAACGAGGACGCTGCGGGACGTGCTTCCAACTTAGGGCGGGAGGAGTTAAGCAATCGAACGCAGTACAAAACCGCATCGATTGCTGACTTGCACCGATGCAGTTCGTGCGTCATAGGCAATACTGCCGAATTAGCAATAAGTTACTTATAGAATAATGTTAATATAATAATTAGTCTTGTAAGAACCTTTAAACATTAAAGTTGTATTTTTAAATAAATAAATAATTTTTATTAGAATTCTTTTCCGCCGAAACATAACTGGTGTCACGGACTTTTTTTAGAACTATTTAAGAGATACATTTTCACTCTACATTACATTCATGTAACTTTTATTGTTTTTGCAGTGCAGGCCAAAATGGCTTGCAGATGGGAGATTTTTTTTCCGTCTTATGTGACAGTTATTGTTATATTTTGGCAAATTCACCCAATAACTACATAAATTATTATATATATGTTATTATCATATATGAGCTATATTACTGTTAAGTTTCATTAAAATCCATTCAGTAATTTTTAGGTGAAAGAGTAACAAAGATCCATACAAACGTAAGATTGAAATTAAAACCGCAAGTGGTTAATATACAACTTTAAAGCGTTGTAGATCCTAAACAATCATACAAAATGAAAAATGGTGTTAGGAACCTAAACATGATTTTCGATTATCTAGACAGTGATATACATATTTTGTCAACTTATTTTTTTTACTTCGTCACAATATGGCGCCTAATTTTGTTTATATTGAATTTTGATTACTATCATACCTTAGTAGCACTCCCATGATTGAGACGAATCGATTGATGTATGAATCATCAAAATCGGTCCAGGCGTTTGGTCTCTAGTGTGCCACAAAGAAACAAACATACATATATAGACTGTTAAACACTATACCCTGTCTGCGCGTCGCGCTTCGCGCTTTTGCATTGCGCAGTCGGGTAAAAAATCGATAGGTGAAAATAAAAAGTGAATAGCCAGCTTCTTGGACAGTAGGAGCATTAAAGTCGCTATCGATGGCTGCTGCTCCGAACCCTTGACTATAAATGCTGGTGTTACACAAGGTTCGATGCTCTCTCCGCCACTGTTTATCCTGCATATCAATGACATGCTGCTAATTCACGGCATGCGTTGCTATGCGGATGACAGCACGTGTGACGCGCGGTATACCCAAACATCTCTAGAGCTGTAGTTTCGGAATGGCGGACTAAGCTTGTTTTCGAAGTGGAGTGTTCTCTTGAGTGAGTCTCCGAATGGGGAAGTCAGAACCTCGTCACGTTTAACACTAGCAAGACACGAGTTTGCGAGTGCAAAGAAGGACTCATTTGCGGTCACACCACAATTCCAAGTAGTCCCGCTGCATGATTCCAATAGCGTTGGGATACTACGAGTAGGTGTTGAAATCTCATGTGATGTCCAGAATAGAAACCATTTAGGACCCAAGGCCAAACTGGCCCCTAAAAAGCTTGGAATTCCTGATCGGTCCAAACAGTACTTCACATTTAAGCAAAGGCTTTTGCTTTACTAAGCGCAAATTAGTGACCCGCCCGCTCGTCGGTTTTCGAAAGCAATAAAATAATGCACCTGTTTACACGTGGTAACCCTAAGGTTGCGGCGGATTGAGAGGTGGCAAATATTGTTTTTTGAATTCTCCACTTAATTTTGTTTTAGATTACCTAAAGATTATCAAAAAACTTATGTAAGTAATTTTCAAAAAACAGTGGATGCCATATTTGTGGCTACTTTTTTTTAGGCAATCTATGATTAATGCAATGTTTACTCACTAATTCATTTCATTTTGTTCATTTAAATTAGGTTTCATCAAAAAAAATTGTGTGCACGGCTCACACATCTGAAGTGAAACTTCTTTTCAGTACTCATAACATAACATTAGGCGGTGCATAAGGCATAGGGAATGGAGAAGCGCACGCATCATTCATATATATGCCTACATTGTTGCGTGTGATGTTCGTAGCGTTTCAGCCTTCAGCCTTCGCCGTGTTACCCGCCAAGTTTCATGCCCGTCGGGAAGAGCTGCGCACGAATCCCACACACACACACACATATATATATACATAAGAAGTTTCACTTCTAAAACGAATGGCTGCAGAATTTTGCGGCGGGATCTCGGGCCTTATGGCAAGACGCTCTGTCCCTCTTGTTAATAAACAAAGAATAAATATGGATTAATTACTCTATGTTTTGTCTCTGTTCATTGAATTACAAATGGCATTTGAGTGATATAAAGAAAACACAGCTTAACAAGTCTAAGCTTATTCCTCGTTTAATGATACGGGGGTATATATAACTACTATTCGCTGAGATCCTCTTCTAACCTACTTCTTGAGATTCCCTGTCACTCTTCTGAATTCTTTTCTTACTCCTTTTCTGTGCACGCTGCTCGACTTTGGAATTCACTCTGAGGGTATCAGAAAGGCTCGTTCGCTTAATTCCATTAGCGTTCCAGTTAACAGCTATTTCCTTTCTTTATCTTAAATTCATTTAATATCCTATTTCTTTGCTTCTCTTATATTTATGTAAGTATAGCTCCTGTATCTACTTCTGTACCCTTCTATATTTCTCTATTATTATTCCTTTTCTACCATAGGTTGCTTGGAAGAGATTGTTGTTTAGCAATAAGGCCGCCTATTGTACTCTTTCTTCTGTTTTATTTGTTTTTGTCTTTTGTCCTTTGTTGTGTGCAATAAAGAATATTTATTGTTATTATTATTCTGACGCATTCCAGCAAAAGATACGCAGCGTCAATAAATAAAAAAACCAGCGAGCCTTACAGTCGTCGCGTATGATGTGAAACATTTGAAACCTCACCTTATATTAGTAAAAAAAAGGAATAAAACCTACTACAAAAGGAATAAGCCATTTGAATATTATGTTCTAAAATCAAATCATATAGCGCGCACTTTCGCGACTTTCTGTTACACACTTGCGTCCCATTTCACGAAATCACTCCCACAAATTGGAAGAAAGCGAGAGGAAAGTTGTTACACATCAATAAATAAAACTAGTTTTTACGGGTTAATGCACGAAACTTTATTTATTTATTTAACTTTAATAAATAAATAAAGTTTCGTGCATTAACCCATAAAAACTAGTTTTATTTAATGAGTGATGTGCGTGAAAACCTAAGAAACAAATACACATCAATAAATTCAGTGCATCTAACCCGTTAAAAACGTGTTTTATTTAGTGTTTAACATACCTGTCGCTTAGCGGCGGGGTCGACGCCAGTGGTGGGCTCATCGACGAACACGAGCCGCGTGCGCCCGAGCAGCGCCACCGCCGTGCTCAGCTTGCGCTTGTTGCCGCCCGAATACTGATGCACCTACATGCACACGAAAAAGTAAATACCAAATAAAAATAATAATATTTTTTTTATTTGCATTAAAAATGTAATATTATTTACACAATTAGACCAATACTAATAACGTGATATAGAAAACTCAACCACTGTAAAGTCTCACAGACATTATCTATCTTTACAAAACAAAGCTCCATAGCGTCCCTTACATTGTTAACGATACCGGTGTTGCTAGCGACGGTTTGGGGTCGGTATAAAAGTAGAAACCGTGCTCTTGAACAATCTTGGCCTGGGCACCAGCATCGACCCCGGCCGGATAGAAATCGTTCTTCGTTCTTTCATAAATCTTTTAAATTCATTTCTTTTCACATTCATTAGTTTTTTCATACACGCCCGCCGGATTTTCCGACTTCTGACGTCATCTACCATCAGAAGGCGATCAATATAATCGTGATCAAGTGAGTCTTGGCCAAGCCCGGCTTCTACATCCTTCCACGCTTCGACACTGCATTATTTTGTAAATAGGACTGATATGGCAAACAAGCGGGAATCCATCATTTTATCGCAATTCCTTTCAACAATTTTCATTTCCCATAAAACGAATCGCAGAACTTATTTTTCAATATTAAACAAACCTTAGAATTAGGTTTAATTGCATTTTCGTTTCCTCGAATATTTATTATCTACCAACACAGTTCATCGTTATTTCTTTTCATGTTCTATACATTTTATCGAAATAATGTTACATCGAAGTTTTCTTACCCATATTTTTGTTTCATCGTAAGTTTCAGTTTGCAAAATAATGGACACATCCATTTTTACTTCAAAACATTGATGTATATCGAAAATACGATTAAAGCGAAAAAAAGGCATTTAAAATGAAGCAGTTTACCCCATTTCCACGTAGCCTTATCTGCCCTACCCCTAGAGTGAAATTTAAAAGTGCGTAAGCGTGGAGGGGAGAGGCGGGCTAAACTGTACTTCCAGGGCCCATGTGGTGATACTTCACACCAGGTTAGGTTAGTGCTGTGAAACACTATAACGCCAGAGCCGAGCGAGCGAAGCGAGCGTGACGCGGTAGCGGCCGGCGAAGCGCCAAAAAAATTGTTTTAAAAGAGATATCTACAAAAATAATTCATCATTCGATGAAACGTTACTGCGATAAAAAGTTGTTATGTGAAAAAGTATAATGTGTTTCGATACATATTGTAACATGTTTTTACAAATAGTTTTATCGATAACTTAATACTTTTACGAAATGTAAGTTCTGATATACCGTTTTTCTGGTAACCATAACAACTTTAAAATATTTTTTTCATAAAACGTTTTTCGATGATAAAAGACAGCGACGATTAAAATTCCATGCATTGAAAAAAAATATATTAAAAATCGTGGAATAGTTTTCGGTAAAATGATAATCGATATCAAAAAATCTGTATTCTGATAGACACCCCAAACAAGCATATGCCACAAGGGGCAGCGGCAGCTATAATAGGGATGGTGACTTAATTTTTTTTTCTTCGTTTTTCAGGTAGATTATCAAAAAGTATTGGACATGTATTTTTTCTTTTTTCATATAATATAAACATTGCAGAGATATATTGATTTGAAAAGTCGCGTGACGTCACGTTTGAGTACACTTATAAGTGAAAATTCACTGAAAAGTGATGTCACGAGCCCCTACTCCCAAACTTGGACGCGCTATAACGTTGTCATTTTTTGGTTGATTGCCCAAAGAAAAAATACGTGTCCATTATTTTTCGATCATCTAACTGACGGACTAAATAGAATTTCGTTTACTGTACCCCGTCATCATGCCTATTGCCTTTAGGCAATGATATTACATACTTTAGTCGTTTGCGTTACCAGAGTATCACTAACGCCATTGCTGACCGTATCCCTTAACTATTCGATAGAGCCCTGAAACCTTATGCATCGACAGAAACTCATCACCACCAAAAGTATCTCACTATATCTTGTGTGCGGTGGAGGTCGCTTTACTTCCCCAGACGATCGTTCCAATTCGAGCTGTCCGCTATGCCCTACCATACTAATTTTACTAAAAACAACAATATATATTTACCTTTAACAACTGTCTGTATCCATACTAATGTGTATACGAGTGTGTCTATCTGTTATCCCTTTATGCATAAACAGCTGAATCGATTTGGATGAAACATCATATCTATAAAAATAGTACCTACAGACCTGAGGCCATAGGATAGTTTTTATTCCAAATATCATTCTTACGGGAATGAAAAGGGGGATGGAAGTTTGTGTAAGAAATCAATTTTATACACAAACCCGCAAGGCGCTAGCATAATATAAAATAATAGTGGTCGCCCGCAACTTCCTCCACGCTAACTTAAGTTTTTTGAAAACCCCATAGTCTAACATTTGGATAAAAAGTATATTATGTCTCAATCCAGGGCATAAACTATATACTTAGTAATTTTCATCTATATCAGTTTAGAAGTTCGAGTGATTGAGAAACATACAAAATACAAAATTACAAACTTTTATATTTATATTATCAGTAGGATGTTGGATATAATGGGAAAAGAAGTAACTCTTCTTCTTCCTGTCCTTATCCCATCTTTATTTGGGGTCAGGCCTTCTTGTGCATTTGCGCCAGGATGTTCTGTCCCGGGTTGATATCGGTGATATTTTATAGGATTTTATATCTCGTTCCAAGGTAGACCACCTAAAGGGGGAGACCATGATGGTTACTAACATGGTCTCCCCCTTTAGATGGTAATAAAGGCAATACTGACCCGCGTGTCCAAATGTTTGGTGAATTCGGATTGCACACGGGCTCGTTCTTGAGCGCAGCCTGCGCAGCAGGCAGAACAGCCGCAGCGTCTCCAGCCCCGTCAGCTCGTCGAACACAGCGTCGCAGGCACCCGCTAGTATGTTATATCATATAAAGATACTACTGACCCGCTTGTCCAAGTGTTTGGTGAATCCAAGCGCGTGCGCGAGCGCCTCGATGCGCGCCCGCGAGTGATGCGAGCGCAGACCGCGCAACAGCCCGAACAGCAGCAGCGTCTCCCGCCCCGTCAGCTCGTCAAAAACGGCGTCGAATTGTGGACAATATCCTACAAATATACAACATAGTGCAAACAATAATTATAACCACTTTGACTTGCTCAGCAAAATCCGCAAAACAATAATTCAGTTATAGTTTTATTTAGATTCTAGGTACCATAGTATGTACTTAACAATAAGCTCTCTCTTTTCGGCATTTGAGATTTATCTGTAAAGTTTGTTACGTTTAGCTTCAAAATGAATTTTCACTGAAGTGTAAGTAGGACCCAGTAAATCAATAAAAAAAACATATTTTTGCTCCCACTGGCCGAGATTTGACGCGCAACATGTTTTTTGTATCTCTTTCTTTCTTCGAATTTGATTTTTTTATTTTTCATCCCACCACCTCGGAAAGTGTAATTTTGCGCTTCGAAATCTGGCTGGAAAATTCTATTTTATTCGCTTGAGCGGCAAAGTAGATTTGAATTTAGAACATCACATATAATGAGTACTCAATATAATTGTAAATTCAAAACGTCATTAAACCTATTTAATGTAACCTCTATGGTGCCAAATTTATGATTAGAACTTTTTAAATTGTGAAAAAATTTAAATTTGGAACCTTCTTGGTTTCTTTGTTTTATTTGCGTGCTTCGCGCCATTCTAGTTTTTCACGTTTTATTGCTTAATATAATTAACATAACCTAAAAACTGTACAAAAAAATCAACTAAAATGAGTGACATTAGCGACGATGAAGTTTATCTAACGCCAACTGAGTTAACTGAAACAGTTAATAATGCGCAAATGAGCCTTCTCCCTCAGCAATCACGAGAGAAGTATTTGAAACAGTACGATATATTTAACATGTGGCGACTAGCTAAAGGAGCAAAAACTTTCTCCGAAAACGTTTTGCTGGCATATTTTATAGAATTATCTGAGACCAAGAAAGCAAGCACGCTATGGAGTACGTATTCAATGCTAAAATTAACAATTAAGATGAAGAAAGACGTTCATATCGACACCTATCATAAATTAGTGGCATTTTTAAAAAGAGCCTCATCTGGTTATAAACCAAAAAAATCGAAGGTTTTCACAGCATCTGAAATTGCAAAGTTTATTAATGAAGCACCTGATTCCGTATATTTAGCGGCAAAAGTAAGTCAATACGTGTAATTTTTTGTTGTTGATAAAATTGTACATAGTACTTACAATATTTTTAATTTGATTAATTTATTTACGATTATAAATACTTCTTTTGTTACAGGTTGTTCTTATTATTGGTATAACCGGAGCATGTCGAACAAATGAACTTACACTACTTAATGTCAATAACGTATCAAAATATTCTCATAATTCTGATGAATTGCTATTAATTAATGTACTAAATACCAAGACAAAAAAAGACCGCAACTTCGTTATTCGCAAGGAATATGTAAACATTGTTCAGAAATATCAAGCTTTACGTCCTTCTAACACCCCAATTGAACGATTTTTTCTACAATATCGCAACGGAAAGTGTATCCGACAACCTATGGGTCAGAATAAAATTGGCAGTATTCCACGAGAAATAGCAACTTTTCTCGGACTTTTAGAACCCCCGTTATACACCGGTCACTGTTTTAGAAGAACCTCAGCCACACTTTTGGCCGAATCAGGGGCTGATCTTCTATCGCTTAAGCGCCATGGAGGCTGGAAGTCTAATTCGGTTGTAGAGGGATACATAGAGGATTCAATCCAAAGTAAATCAAAAATTTGTAATAGTATCGTGGAGGCCATAACGCTGAAAGAACCTCTGTCAGATTCTTGGTCTCGCCCTTCTACATCTAAAATGAGCCCCCATAAGATTGGAAACAATAGCCCTCTCTCGCCAACATTTACGCCAATAGAATCCAATGAATCGGCACAACTATTTAAAATTACTGATACGAGTAGTTTACCACAAAACAGCGCACAATTCACAAACACCAACATAACATTACCTAACAAAAATATTAAACTTAACATAAGTAACTGTAGCAACGTTACATTTAATATTTCTTAATTATTTTCTACTTCTTATTATTTTCTTCAATTTATAGATTATCTTAATGTGTTTTAATTGAAATAAAAATATTTTGTCATTATAAATTGTTTTCTTTTTCATTTTGTTATTTCCTCGCTGAGGTGGGATGAAAAGTTACGTATTGCACTCGAGTGGAAAGATTTTTCACCTTGTGCTCGTTTGTTTCCCTCGCTGACGCTCAGGATTCTAATTTAGAATCCTTCGCTTGCTCGGTCATCCAAATCGAGCACGCGGTTAAAAAGGAACTTTCCACTCTTGTATAATAAATAACTATTGTTCTATTTGTAGTCCAAACTCCTTGGTAAGGCTAAAAAAACAATATTTTATGTTACAATGTGACAGGGACAACAAAGAAAAACGGAAGCCATATCCCTTGTAGGGTTAAGCATCAAGGGTACATCAGCATACGACAGATTTAAATGTAAACGACGCTTAAATTTAGAACTACATTAGTTTAAGATAAAATACATTGAAAGTTTGCCAGTCAAATATCGCCTAGAAGAGTCTTTACTATCTGCACAGGGAGCTGAACAACTAGCATTCTATGTTTTTTTCACTGCCCGGCCTGTCTGTACCCTAATAAATATTTTATATAAAGGAAAATAAATGTAATATTATATCCATATTGAGTTTCATAGTTGTATATCATAGTTGGTATTTAATTAACTTCGTGAGTTTACCATACCAGATTTTCTAATTAGATACCTATCTAAATGATTCTGCTGTCTGTTTCACAACTACGTAATTTTTTGGAACCCATAACTTGTTTATATTTTAAAGAAATATTTGTAAGTCAAGGTAAGGTTTTAAGTACCTATATTCTCGTAGACCTTAGGAAGTTGGCTTCGCACGGAATATCCGCTGACGTGAGCGTCGCCACTGGAGATCGACTCGTCGCCCATCAGCATTTTGAAGGTAGTCGTTTTACCCGCACCATTCACGCCCAACAGACCAAAGCATTCCGAATCGTTGACGGCTAAAAATATAATAAATATAGAAAGAAAGAAAAAACAATGTAGTTACCTATTAGTACGAGAAATAAACACTATTTGAGGAGCTGGCGAACAAAACGTTATAATAACATCAATTTAAATTTTACAGGCGCAGTAAAAAACTGAATGACATACCTACAGTGAGCTTTGGGTATAGTTTTTAATTTAATAATTTAGTAATTTTAACACTGTTTTAGACAGTATTAATTGAAAATTACTTGAAATTCCAATTCAAAGGGTCCAAAACCGCTGGATTGTAATTCCTCTTGGGAATATTCATTGCTATGCAGACGACAGTACAGTGCATGCGGGGTATCTCGGACAAGCAGCGGCTGGGCAGGCAGTAACCAAAGAGAAACGGGAAAATCTTGTCATTGACCTCAATCAGGCTTTGGATCACATTTCCGAATGGGGTACCAGGAACTTGGTTGAGTTCAATGCCAAGAAAACTCAGGCTTGCGCTTTCACGGCAAAAACATCGCCATTCCTTCCCCTGCCATCTCTTCAGGGCACAACACTACCGCTGCAGAGCAACATTTCCATGCTCGGTATGGAAGTTCGCTCAGACCTGAATCCAAAGGTCTACATCGAAACCGTGATCAAAACAGCTTCACGCAAACTCGGAGTCCTGAACAAGGTGCGGCGTTTTTTCACGCCCGATCAACTGTGCTTGTTGTACAAAACGCATGTGCGGTCCTGCGTGGAATATTGCTCGCACTTCTGGGATGGCTCCGCCAAGTACTTGCTCGATGCTTTGGATAGGTTACAGCGGCGCGCGATCCGCATCATAGGCGATGAGGAGGTGACTAAACACCTTGAGCCTCTTCAATTACGCCGTGACGTGGCGTCACTAAGCGCGTTCTATCGTTTGTACCACGGAGAGTGTTCTGAGGAGTTATTCTCTCTCATCCCACCTTCCCCTTTCCTTCAAAGGACCACGCGCGCTGGCCTACGTTGTCACCATTTTACTGTGGCACAATTCCAACGCGTACAAAGAAATTTGGTGACTCATTTCTTTGTCGCACTATCCGTAAATGGAATGCTCTGCCCGCTCACGTGTTCCCTCCCTCTTACAACCTGGGATCCTTTAAAAGAGGCGTGAAGAAGCAACAAGTAGGCCGGCAGGGTGAGGATGGCTAGTGTGGCAGGTAGAACTGCTGTATCAGCTATCTTCGCGTCTGGACTTCACCTTCACTTAACATCAGGTGGGGTGAAGTCATTTGTCGGATCTATCTATAAAAAAAAATGGGTGCGTGTACTTATGTAGGCACGTGAGAAGTTATCCTTCTTTGGCATCGTTTAAAATTAGTTTTTAATTGCATGCAAATAATTAATAACAATAAATTAATAAAAAGTCTGGAAAAGGACACAGTCAATAAAGTTCAGTTTTAATTTGAAAAAAAAAATAAATAATCAAAATATCAATTAAAATCGCTACTGAATATAATTTATTAGAACATATGTGATTTGCACTTGTATGAAACTAAAACACGTATTCCAAATATACAAACTAGAAACATGTGGATAAATATTATAAATATGAATACCTATAACTGTTACTTTATTACAAAAAATAAAGATGTGGTTTTTGGTTCTACTACACCAATGGTCAAGAGATGGCGCTGTAGTCTCCTGAATCGCGCTTTGGTTCCGTTGTTCCAGATTAATAAATACTTTTGATAGGCCTTCACAATGCAGTCGTTAGCACCCACAAAATAGAGATTCTATTTCTATTTTGTTGGTGTGCGGTAAACACAAAAGTAACAGCATGAAGTTAACTGTTAATTTTTTGTGTTACAGTGATGTTCGCGCATCTTAAAATTTCACTCTCATCATTTTTTCATAACGCGCCTAAAGAAGTATAACTTCAAAAACGTATTGTGACTAATAGGCTAGTTTACTCACGTCGAATTGTATTAAATAAATGTTTATTTCTTAAAGTATTTAGTCTAAGGAACCTTAATATATCGATTTCACTTCATAAAAGCAGAAGATTGCTGTAGAAATTTAATTATAAAAAAAATTTTTTAGTCTATATTTTTTAGGGATGTCGAAAGTTGAAAAAAATATCGATATATCGATACATCGATATTTTAAAAAATATCAATATCGGCTTCGATATATTGCGAAAAAAACATCGATATATCGATATATCGGACCAATTTTCCCAAAAATATCGCTCACGAAATATGACACGCGGAATAATAATGGAACGAAAATTATCTCCCTAAAAATAGACCCTATTTTCGAATGATGACATAGACAATACTAAATACCGCACAGATCATAGATATGTTGTATATCATTAATCTGAGATCCAGTTACGATTTTTCCAGATAAGAAATTAATTAGATCGTGATATGCCGCTAATAATTAAAAAAATATCGTTTTTGATACGAATTTCGATATTGGTTATTTTGTATCGATGTATCGATATATCGAACCAAAATATATCGGCAAAAAATATCGATATATCGTACAAAAAATATCGATATATCGATACATCGATATATTTTCAACAAGCCTAATATTTTTTAAACACTAAAAACGCTGTTCGCCGCATCCGCCATGATTTTGACATCTCTTGTGGTAAACAACTAAATGTCATTCGCGTGTTACTGTAGGTGGATTCTTTCGTCTGACTAAATTTATCTTATAACACTTTTAACTTTAGGAAAGAAAAAAACAGTTTTTTGACAAAACTAATTATGGATGCCGGCTTTGTGAAAGCAGAAAGCACAAATCTGCCAAGAATTGACGCATTGATGGTTGGTGAATTTGTTGCACTAAACCCCGATTTCTGCTCTGCGGAGCAGAGAAACGACAAGGCATCTATGTAAGTACAGTGCATTTAGTATTACAATGTAGTAATAAACATAAAACTGATACATCATATGAATAAGTGTAATAAAGTTGCGTAGGTTAATTTCTTTCGGCACTTTAATCCACAACTTTCCTGGAGTTTTCAAGGATGGGTTTTTATATTCTCGTACAATACAGTAATGATAATTACTTTATTTTTCGTGGTATTTATTAGATATCATGTTTTTTTTATTATAAACTCAGTAAAAAGTAATTTTCTACGTGCTTACGAGTTTTTGTTTACCACAGTTCACGTCATAGCATAGATAATCTATAGACTAAAATGGCCGACAGCGATTTTATATGTCCATGAAAAATCTATTTTAAAATTAAAGATTTGTAGCTTTCTATGTTAAAAAAAAAAACAATACATTTTTTTTCGGTCTAATAGAACATTAATTAACCATTTAAAACCTTTTTCCAAAAAGGGTCAACGAGCCTATTCTGTAATTATGCCGTTTTGTTCGCCAGCTCCTCATTTTATATTAATAGTAATAAAACACGAAATAGGCAGTATATCACTTGTACATACCCTTACCAAATGAAAATAATATTAAGAAAGTATACAGTTAAAAAACCAATTCACATAAGTACGAAGACTAAAACTGTTGTTTCATTATGTCAAAAGGGTGGCAGAAAATCTAAATTGATCGCCTGATGGTAAGCGGCCACCACAGCATACAGACACTAGCGATACAATATCACTTGTGCCGTTGCCTACCCTGTGACCCAATCCCCTACCCCGTGGAGCCCTGGAACCTGATGTAGTTCCCCAGATGGGCGCTTCAATTCGAGCGGGAAATCCGCTATGCCCTACCACTCTTTAAAATTTGTTGTTAAACGGTTTTCCAGGAAAATAAAAATCAAAGTGTTTTCAATAGAGACACTTACTAAACACACATCTTAATGTTTTCAATAGGGCAACTTACTAAAAGAGATTTGATTAACAGCGAGATGTTTGCCGTAGTACTTAGAGAGGCCGCGTGCTACGAGGCTGTGTTCTCCGAGTGCTCTTACGTCCAAATTGTCAGCGTGTTTGCTCTCTTGCAATACGTCTTCATCTACACTGCTCTGGTCGACCGGTGGGGGGGTCCTTTTCCGAGTGAATATCTAAAGTAAAGTAAACAAAATTACAAATAACGAATTATGTGTATTATGCGTGAAACTTTTATGAAATAGACCTAGCATAGTGCACGCTACGCCGTAGCTATTGTCGTAGACGCTTGAAAAATGCTATAAAGCGTAACGACACATGCATCTGTACCCTTAGTACAAGTTTGAGCTCACGAAAACTCATAGTTTTCGTAATTGTAAATTAAGCTTCTATGTCCATTTTGATGTAAACTAACCAAATATACTTAAAATTTAAGAAGACGCAAATGATTTAATAATAGAATTTAAACACTGTTTATTTGTATTGAAACGAAAACAATAAAATCAGTACCCTTGGTACTAGTGCGAACTCACGAAAACTATCATAGTTTTTGTAATTGTGAAACTCGTACTAAGGGTACAGTAAAAGACAGATTTCTTACATTTTAAAGAAATGTGGTAACATTTTGTGGCGTAGATGATGTTCTTTTATTCGTGTGCGAAGATCGCTATTATGAATGATAAATATAGTAACTATTTTTTTTGTCACTAAGAAATATGAGTTTTCAGCTGTTCGCCATTTTCACATTATATTTGGCTCGGTTAAATTCAGGAAGGTGTTAAAAATATCTATTTGTATATATCTTTGCTGATTCCAATTGATCAATTCCAAGGAATAGACGTACACTTTACAAAGACTGCAGTGGTTAGCAAGAAAGGATGTGAAAGCTATAAAATTATTGGTGACTGAGAAAAAACAGCAAAGATAAATACAAATAGATATTTTTAACACCATCTTGAATTTAACCGAGCCAAATATAATGTAATTAAAGTTCACTCCAAATAACTTTATTTCTTTACTACACGAATAATCACCTTTTGGAATTGTCGATATTCAATCATTAAAAAGACGATCCACAAAACGGCACAACTTATTATCATCACTGTTATGAAGCGGAGTATACCACCATCATCCCATTTGAAGAAAGGGTCCTCTTCAACTAAAAATTGAAATATTTTTAATAGTTTACTAAACACCGCAAAGTATGTTTTAGTTCACAATAAGTAAAAAGGGTAAATACCACAACAAAAATAGATAGTATTGCATAAAATTTCCATAGAGCACTGGGTGCTGTTTAATGACCTTAACTCGCAAATATGCATGCACGAAGCTACTCTCATTCCGTGGTGGTTTAACAATCTGCAACATAGAATGTATATACACACACATGTATACGGTGACAATATGACTATGAATCAGTTAATATTATACCTACATATATTATAAATGATAAATCGCAGCTATTTGGTTAAGTTAGCCAACCAATTGGACCACCGTTTATTAAACGCCGGCATTTAATGAAATGGCTGAAGGGCAACTAAATAACATTATATTAAAGGTGTGAGACTGCAATAGTCTGATCGAGAATAAGTTCATATTAAACTGTGCCTAAGATGCGGGATAGATAGAAAAGATGTAAGACGCAGACGGGCCGCGGACATAATATGTCTCTTCCGCGTTCTTTCCATACCAAACGTATAGAAGCGTCGCGTCGCAAAACATATAGAAAAGACAGGGCGCGAAAACGACGTTTCTTCATTTTGTATGAAACTGACAATATCCGCACTCCGTCTGCGTCTCACGTCTTTTCTATGTGTCCTGAGCCTAAGGTATACCTGATAGCCGAGACTAAACTATAGAGCGGGAAGAATTGCAGCACGTAGTCCAAAATTTCTGCCACATTTTGTGTAGTTAATTCTGGATGCGACAGTGCATCAACTATTTGTGGACCCATCATTCCTAAAAAATAAAAATGTTATGGAAAAGGAATTCTTAATGTGTCTCAGTGATTATATGTGATATTATAAATTTGACAGCGCGTCATCGCAAGTAATTTTGTAATTAAACATGTCGAAATATATAATAGTGAAATAACTTACCTAATAGAACGTTAACGAAAAACACAACTGTGAATCCGAGAGCGGGGCCGTTGAAGTATTGCGTGTACAAATAGTTAAGGGGCACCATGGCGGCTCCATAAATCATCAGGCAGAGATACATGCGACCTGCGTATTGTTTTTGTTTTTTAAAAAAACATAAAATCTTAGTTGTACTCGATCCCCCTTATTAATAAACGAGGAATAAGCTTAGACTAGTTATGCCGTGTTTTGTTCATATCACTCAAATGCCATTTGTCATTCATTGAACAGAGACAAAACATGGAGTAACTAATCCAAGCTTATGCTAGTTTATTAATAAGGGGGTATAAGTATAACTAAAGAACAAAGCTTTATGATGGGTACGTACTTAGTTTCCATTATTCGTTTATATTATTGCGCTCCGTCGCGTAGCGCGGGTGCACAGATTTTAGTGCTGTATGCAACTACCGCAAAAAATAGAAAATAGATACCCCGTGAATACAACACACTGAACTGCGCCTCCAAGGGGTTTGGCGATTCGCCCACTAACAAATCATCGCGTTGCCGTGGGCGAATCGCCTTAAGCACCTTTCTAATCAAAAAATCTTCAGTGCAAAACTTCATCCATAATTATATAAATGCGAAAGTTTATATAAGTATGGACAGACCGATTGAGATGAAATTTGGTATAGGATAGTTTTTATCCAAATATCATCCTTTAAGGGAGTGAAAAGTGGATGGAAGCTCGTATGAGAATCTAGTTTTTCCAGGCAGACGAAGTTGCGGCCACCATGCTAGTATAATAAAAATTACACACTTTTTGTCGTTTACCTAATTCGTCAACTGTAGAAAGCCCCGCCACATCAAACGCTACGCATGATATAACAACCGTAACCCCGATGATCAAGAACCAGGCCCAGTCAAAGACCGCGGCGCTGCCCCACATCACAACGGGCTGGATGCCAGCCGCCTTCTGGAGAAGCTTAGCTCGTGATACGCGCTCCTAAACACAAAGATAATTTGAAAACTGTATATACCATCTTACAAGACATGGCTTATCAATAATAGTGTACTTTTTTATGGCACCTCAGCTGTATAATAAAATACACCTCTCGAAATTAGGAAAACTGAAAGTCCCAATTATTTCGTACGAAAATAAGAATGTAATTACTGGAATAGGCCTTTTTAAGAGGCAATTCTTTATAAATGGATGTTTTTGTTTCTTTTTATTTGCATGCCTTTCGCTGAATGGAATAAGCTTCTAGATTATTTAACATCTATGTTTTTAATACCTGTATATGCAAATAAATAGGATTTTACTTGATAAAATATCATTGAGGCCAGTCGTAGCTCTCTGAAATATAAAATAAAGAAGTGAACAAACCTTAATGTAGAACATAACAAAAACGGCGCTGGCAATGCCCAAACTGGAACCGATGCCGACCGCAAGTTGCATCGACATCATTTGCACCATCACTTGCATATCAGTCTGTTAATTAAAAAAAATAGTTTCATTAAACTTAATACTGGAAAAAGCTTTGATATCGGATTATAAAATTAAAGTTATTTGAAATTGATATATTAAAAGCTTTTTTGAAAGCTTTTTTTAACCTACCTACCATAAGTTCAAAGCTACAAGGAACGGGTAAAAGAAACTGATCGGCTTTTTATAAATTGCAATAATAGGCATTGAACTTTTGGTAGATAAAAAAGTTTTCCTTAATTTCTACCTACCAAAAGTTCAAAGCTACGATGAACGGGTATAAGAAACTTATCGACTTTTAATTTACAGTATCTCTTACTGCAAAAGAATGGTTGAGTTCCGCCATGAGTTCGTTATTTTTTATAGTTTTCATTCTTTGATATTTTACAAAGTCGATCATCATTGCAAAACTTCAACTTAGATAATAAATAAATTGTTAAGCTTTAACCTACAATGGAAATAAAAATTACCTGGTCGCTATAGTTGACTTCTAGTGGATGATTGAACACGTTTATTTGAGCATCAGGAAGTCTGGATTTGAGGAGAGCAGTGTGCACATTCGCTAGTGACGTCGCTATGTCGTGATAGCCGAAGTTGCTGAACCACGCCGTTGCAGAATTGTCAGAAAATGATGCTCCCGTTAGCACCCGGTGACGTATTTGTCCCATAGCAATTGGATCTTTACCCTTTAATAAATAAAAGTAATTTTGATTATTTTTGAAGGGCTCAGACCTAAACTTTTTTGATGAATAGACGGGAAATTAGGAAATCCTTCATAAATTTTATGTCCTGTTCAGTTAGTTCTGTCCAGCATGTCATCATATAAGTGAGCAATTTTTTTTTATCTCGAATTCCTCCGTACTTTGAAAAGTCCGTTTAGCCATATTTGTCCCGGCTGCATCTTTAGTACCCACCGATTTGCACGAGAGCCGCGTGGTGGGCCACTGCCCAATTTCTCTATTCCATCCATTGGGAAAGCCTGTGTCCCAACAGTGGGGAAATAAATAGGCTGGTAATGACCCAGCGGTAAATATCAATTATTTTCTAGTTGACGAATGAAAATAAATATCGCCCATAGGTGCTATAAGAAAGTTCGCGACAGCATAGTCCATCTTTTAAGTTTGACTCATCTTTTCTATAACCTTTTCTTTAACTTTTTTCCTCAAATTAACCACATAATGGACAGTTCGGCGACACGAAATTCGCCGGGTCAGCTAGATACATAGAATCCAGGACTGAGTAAAGTTATTTCGGTAATATTTTTTTAAGCAACGGTTAAATTAATAGAACACATAACACAAGCAAATATTATGTAATGTTCCTATGTAGGTATATAAATTTTTCTTTTATATATAATTTTGATATTTGTTTTTGCATAATTTATGTTAATTTAAAAGATTTAATGTAACGTCTTATAAACTATCTAATTAAATTGTAATATTAAAATATCATGTTTAAATATAATTTTGTAAACGTAAATATAATAAAATAATAAATAAATATAAATATTTCCAACACTCACACCAATTAGCCTAACCCCAAAGTAAGCACTGTAAAGCTTGTGTTATGGGATACTAGGGTAACGGATAGAATTCATATGCTGTACATATATAAGTATATTTATATAGAAATACATAATAAACATCCATGACTGGGAGTACAAATGCTCGTATTCATCACACAAACATCTGCCCCCACCGGGATTCGAACCCAGGACCTCTCGAGTCAGCGACACCATGAAACCCGGCGTACAAACCACTCGGCCACGGAGGTCGTCTAATATATATTTTAGTAGACAAGCGGACAGACATATTTGCATGTGCATACATAATCTTCTGCGCGGACGCTAGCAGCGGCCGCCTGAATGCAACCGGTTTCAATGGGCGGGGCCGGACCGCTTGTTTCTGCACGGCCGACGCAGTTGGATCTTAGCCTCTGCATCGTATGCGTGTCGTTTGTCTCCTTGCTAAGTACCATATCGATCTCGACTTGTTATCAACAGTTTGTATAACGTTGAGCTAATAGTTACTGCGCTGAACAATCTTCACTATTATACTCATGTGCGCCTCCTAATATTTTTTTTAATTATTTATTTCAAACACACACCAGTTAGCCTAGCCCCAAAGTCAGCACTGTAGGCTTGTGTTATGAGATACTAGGGTATCGGATAGAGTACATATACTGTACATATATTTATATAGAAATATAAATTAAACATCCATGACTGGGGTACAAATGCTCGTATTCATCACACAAACATCTGCCCCCACCGGGATTCGAACCCGGGATCTCTCGAGAAGGCGACACCATGGAACCCGGCATACAAACCACCCGGCCGCGAAGGTCGTATGTATATATATGGGAAAATATTGTGGATACAATAAACCGTGAGTACGGTGAAAAGTAACACTCATTTAACACCCGAGAAACTCACGCATATTCCTATAATTATGTTTCTTTTTAATCAGATATAGGGCCTTAGAGGGAAACTTAATCGCTACGTCATGTTTGGTCATAATAATTTTAGATTTTGCATAATATCTTACTTATCAGTGTTTATCAAAAAAATATTTTGTAGCTTCCAACTTATCATATTTACCAATTAAATGATTATTATTTCATAAAAGAGTATAAACAAAAGATATAATGATAACATCTTCTGTAAGACTGAGGTTAATTCCCTATACCCTACCCGTACCTAGTTTTTGTCACAAATAGAGCTTACTAGAAACTCGCTCTTTTCATTTATAGATTTTGGCCATGAAGAGGTATACATACTGTACACAAACACAACTAATTTAAGTTTAAAAGAATTTACTTACAATTTTTAAATAGTGCTCGTCGACAGTTTCATTAACGATGGTGATTTGTGCATTGGCATTCAAACTGTTTATGAAATATTCATAGGCAGAAAAGGCCAGGGCACCGAGTGACGATGTCGATGTACCGTTGAAAGATAAAAGGCTCTCAGTGGACATATATCTGAAAGTTGCAATAAAGACTATTAATACAATATTACTTCTCAAAAGGTAGATACAAGAATACGACAAATTTTCTATTCGTTTATACGATGATAGCTCTTAAATTTGAAACAATGTTTTTCTGTTACTTGATTTTGTTTGTAATAGACAAGCTACATGTTAATTTATAACGCATATTTTCTAACTTGATGTTTAAACCGAAATAAAGGTTTCCATGTATGTAGATATGTAGGTATGTATGTATAGAAAATAACATTTCTTACCATTAAACTTTTCTTATTACCTATAAAATTGTTATAATAAAGTTAAGCTTATGCTTTTTTCCACAGAAAATACTGTTTTCATCGCAATATACTACGCGCATGTCTCGAATCTTGTTTCATGCAGTTTGCACAACGTAGAAACATACTCTGTCCAAAACCAGTTTTAACAAAAGCATTACGTGTGACTTGAAATTTATACAATAGACACCAACTTTTTACAAATAATAAAAAGTTAGTAAAAAATATTGTCAAAATATGTTATTTCACAATATTTTGTATGAAAGTGTAAATATCTGTGAGTCACAGTAAAGATAACAACATACGGAGAAGATAGAATCGAATGTAGTGGTAATAATTTCAACAAACATCTTGAATACGGAAATTGTTACCGTGTGTATTTGTTAGGCAGACATGCCTTCTGAGTCACACTCAGACGTACCCCCAATAGTATTCGCGATAGGATTCAACAAAGAGAAAAAAAAAGCTTTATTCAAAATATAGGTGCTTATTATATTACACAGTTTAGTGCGGACATACATAAACGAATTTTATACTAATATCGAGCCAAATGGAATTTTGCGGTAGAGAAATTTAGGGAAAGTTTTAAATGAAAATATAACAGTTAAAATAAAATCATTATAAAGCTACATTGCTATTTCTTCCTTCGAATGTTTGATATTAAAGTAAAATGGCGTCGTCAACTTTAATGAATTTTAAAATAATAACGCCCAAAGTGGAGATGATCGGCAGCGTGGGTACGAGGATCTGGAGCAGCACCATCCTCCAAGAACGGCTCCACACCAGCCTCAGTTTAAACCAGGTCCCCAACACTTGTTGGCAAAGAATACCTACCCTTCAGTAAGGGACAACGGCCTTCGTACAATGGTGGGTGTGAATGAGGTGATGTATCTCATAACGCCCAAAGTGGAGGTGATCAGCAGCGTGGGCACGAGGATCTGGAGCAGCACCATCCCCCAAGAACGGCTCCACACCAGCCACAGTTTCAACCAGGTCGCCAACACTTGTTGGCAAAGCAATGGGAAACCACTAATCGATTCCTCGTCCCTCACTATAAAAGAATATCATCGCATGTGTTTCACAATATAAGTTTTACATTCTCTTGCAAGGTACGTTGATATAATAATGAATAAATTAATATTAACATGTATTTTGATTTAAGGAGCTCGATGGTGCAAATGGTTAGCGCGTTCGCCTGGGATTGATGAAGTTAAGCAACTTTCGCAATAGTCGGTCATTGGATGGGTTACCAAAAAATTTACTATATCGAGCTCCTCCGTGCTTCGGAAGGCCATTAAGCCGTTGGATTCCACTACATCGTCAGCACCCACCAAGTCACACAGGGCCCGCGTGGTGGGTCCATAGGCTCTGGTTGGAGCACCGTTGGTGGTTCAAGCACTGGGGATATGAATAGGCTGATGATGAATTTTTAATTTAATTCACAAAGATAAGCCCTCTTCTTTTAAGTGTTTCAGTAATATACCAAAGAGAACGGATACACCTTGTTTTAAATATTAATATGATTAGTCTCAAAATCTGCACTCACATCGATCTATAGATGACGCATCGATGTCGTATTTTGTTTCTTCACTGATAGAGTCGACAGTTGTGTCAGCGTCGTCAGCCTCCGTGGGTACATCGGATCCAACTCTGAAATATTTCATTTTCACAAAAAGTTGTATGATTTTTTTTCATTTCGGACTTCAATAAGGTTTCTGTTACCCTACGATGAACATTTTTAAAAGATACGTACGTACGTTTTTTACTACTTAACTTTTACTACTATAAAATAAGACTCTTAATCTTGCATGAATTTCCGCACCATTCGGCTGAAATCTGAACTGCCTAGCAGAAAGCCTAAAGAAAGTTATCGATTATAAGCTGCATTTATTAAAAACTTTTCTAAAGGCTTCCTCATTTATTCTATAGATTAGGCACGCGATGAATTAATTAATACGTTGATAGGTGCCCGGGTGTTGAGTTTTGGAGTCTGCGCTCCATATTTTACCAGAACAATCTAGTAAAATGTGGTATTCCAGCCCTTCCCATCTTGATAATAAACTTTCTATGTTGACAAAAATAGTAATTACACATAGGAATATTACAATTAATAGGTTTTTCGAGTAGGTACGTATACCATCATGTATCTGGTCAAAAGCTCAACTAAGACAAAATGATCTCATTAGATCTAACGTTGATCTGGCCAACGAGTCTTCTGAAATTCATTAATCCTACGAATCATAAACAACGAAAAATGCGACAAAATAAATAAAGCTTAGATGGCCTTATTGCTAAACAGCAATCTATTCCAGGCAACCCTTAATAGAAAGATAAATAAATAAATATTTCCGACATCGTTATGTTACCTCGCTCGTATCTTAATCGATCGAAAGAATCTCGTGTAATGAAATGGCTCTCATCTAGAGCTGTGCAAGTACTTACGTCATAAACACATCTTCCAATGTGGTTGCAAGTAGACCATAATTTTTGAACTTTACTACCTCCACATTATTTTCAAGATCATTGAGCATCTGTTCAAAAATGTGCGAGTATTCATTTTTTAAGTTATATGTTACCTCCGACCCTAAAATAAATTATTGAATAATTAGCAATAATGATAACATTGTATTTAAATTTTAAATTAATAAGGTTACATTTTACATTAAATTAAATTTATAGCGCGTGATACATGGGCCTAATAGATATTATTTAAACATGGGAAAGAGATAAGCTTATGTAATATTGAAGGGGATCATAGAAAATGTTAAAGTTTGTCAAATATCGAGATTGCCCGTCTTATATATTTTCACAATTTGTTGATTTTTTCAAATCTTAAAATAACAAGATATTTCATGAAACATAAACTTAATATGAAATGTAAAAAATTACACATAAAACTTTGAGATGAAAATTAAGGAAATCCTAAATGACGCATATTTTAGACTTACCATACAAGTATCGCTACTTTAGACCCCCAGTTTTAATCTGTGGTTTTAATAGATGATTCTCATTCGATTGTAGAGTCAAATACATTTTAAAAATCAGGAAATGAATACGGAAGTTTTTTTTAAATAATTCTTCACATAATACACTCAACCGCAAAGAAAACGGTTCACCCAGTATCCTGGAACTCTGATTCGATTTTAAAAAAAAGTAAATAATACTCATTTTAATAATCAGAAAGTGCTTTTCGTGATTATTAAAATGAGTAAAATTATTTTATTCGTACGTTCAACTTAATGTGTACTTGTTTTTAGCAATAAACACAATTATAATTGCAAATTGTGTAAAGATGCGATTAACGTCCTCTTTTATAAAATGAAGATAGTCTGATACTTCTTATTATTTCTTTAGTTTTTGTTCATAGTTTTCTCAGACATGTGTTTTCTTGCTAGGTTTTTTACTACCGTTCTTTGGTAAACTAAACTTTAAAAATTGATTTATCTCATTAAATTTCTGTTAATTTTAAACATCGTGAAACGCAGTTTCTGTAGGAATAACTATGAAAGTTGTAAGTTTTATACTTTTTGCGAAAATCAAATCAGAGTTCCGAGGTAGGTAGCAATTGACCCGATTTCTTTGCTGTCCAGTGTAGATACACGAAATTCTTACCTCTATCCTCTTTTATCATTGCCATGGGAATGTATTTATTTATAAGTTTTGTACACGCTTCCTCATTAAAGCCTTCATCCTTCACTATGACAAGAGAGTAGCCAATACCGTAGTGCTTCTTCAAGAAATATGGAGAGCCAACGCATTGCAGTTGGCCATTAGCCATAATAGCTATGCGATCTCCTAGTATATCAGCTTCATCCATAAAATGTGTGGTTAGGATCATGGATCTACCTGTATACACATAATTATATTTTTGTAATTATTCTCAAAATGTTATTGCATACATTATTCCTTAGGTGGACTTAGAGCGGACGGTAAACATTGATATTGCTAGCCGTTAACTTTCCGTGAAAATAGTACGTAAGTACCTAAAACAAAGTCTATCAACGTACAAGGCAATCTATATTTAGAAACTATTCTGTAGACGTACACGACGCGAATCACTCCTCTCTTTTTTAATTAGAAAACAAACTAATACATTATGAATTTAGTAAATTACACATTTACATTTATTTGGCAAATAAATATAGTGACTTATCATGAGCTCCAAATAAAAAAATATTATATTAAGAAATATTTATACTTTCTGACGACAAAGGTTTATTTGTTAGATAATATTATGTTCTTTTAAATATAAACATACGTATGCATTTTGCACTTATTAAAGCTACAACGTTTCTAATGTATAAAAAAGTTTTAATGATAATTGCCATTAAAAGGTACGTATTTTCTGATATCACTAATAAAATAATGGAATATATTACTAAAATAAAAGATGATACTTCTAGAATTGGGTATTGGGCTGTTGAGTAATATAACATCATGATAAGATAAATAGGAACGGAGCTTCAATGAAAAATGTTGCGAAAAGCCGTACAAAGCCATTCGTTACTGACCTATATATTGATTTACTTATTTTATATTTACCTAGATTTACCTATTATATATATTCCTAAATTGACATACATAGGTATATGATACTTTTTATTCCGGGTAGCATTCCTGCCTGTTTGACGAGAGGCTCAAAAATCAACATCCCACCTAATGAATTGGATCGATTGAATTGCAATCACAATGAAAATATCTAAAAAGATAACAGCTAAGTATTGTAACTATTAGCGAGACTGTGTGATTTTTTTGTAAATGTAAAAAAAATATAATATCAATGATAACAGTTATCGATAATACTTCCGCTTGTGTGTAGGTACAGTTTTATTATATTTATATTAACTATTTGCGATTTCTGTTGTATCGCATGTTTTTTATCATAAAAGTGTTATCGGTTGAAAAAATACCACGTTATGATAATTGTTTTACCTATAATTGGAAAAGTTGGTGCAATAGCTACGTAAAGGCGGAAGTGGTTTCGATATCAAGTTCCGCGGCTATCACTGGGAATTTTTGGGTGCAAATCATGTGCAAATATGTACATTATGATCATTATGTACATACAAACAACCTCAAACCCATCGTGACAACAGAAGCGGTGATTATGTTTGATGTTTTGTAAACTGAGGCCCAAGTACGAATTTTGACAGCTCCTTAATCGTATCGTCATCGTCAAATTTTGTATGGAAGGAGCCAATTTGTTCTTACGTTCGGTATGGGCGCTGCTTAGGTTTCATAGAAACGTTTTTGATGTGTGTAGTTTCTTTAAACTCACCTGTTTAGTACGGCAATAGTGATTGATAAAAAGAATGTTTAATACCTAATAAGCTTCTTAATGTTCTTTGCCAAAGTAAGGTAAATTAAATAAACTATTATTACTTTTAGATAACCTTTTTTTTCCTCCTGCAGAAGATCCCATAGGGCGCGCCTGGAGGAAGGATCCATTCCAGACGTAGGCTCGTCTAGAAGTACGACTCGCGCGTCGCCACATAAAGCAATTCCAACGCACAAGCGCCTCTTCTGTCCACCCGACAAGCCCTGCGCTTGATAATTACGCTGAAAGTACAGCCAAAATTCTCGAATGAGCTTTAACATATAAAAAGCTTAAAGCTCGGCCCGGCTCGGCTGATCGTAAGTGCGCTGCGTTAAGTTATTGCGTGCTCTGCGACATGCCATGACAATGAGACATGACGCAGCAAAATAGCAAAATAGTACGCACAAACTGAGGTACACTAAAGCCCTCGCTTTACTGCCCTGGCTAGTCAACTCAGCTGTCATATGATCTGGACAGCAGTGCTGGAAATACTCCGTGCGCCAACATACTTTAAAAAAGTGAGTTTACACATTCGGCGCAATGAAGTGAAGTGTTACGGGATGATTGCGCAGCGCAGCGCACTGTTATACTTGTCTAGAAAAATGACACGAAAATGTAATAATAAATGTAATGTACGAGTATTTAATTTATAAATGACGGAAAACGTAACGATTTTTTTTTAAGTTAAAAATATTCTAGTAGTATTTTAAGCATATTCACGTGATACTCAATAGGTATTATTAATTTATTTTAATCATAGATATCGTTATCAGCTTTTAATTAGTCTAATGATTAGAGTCGAATGACGTTATTTGCAAAATTTGATCAGTGTAATGGTATCATATAAACGTTATTAAAAAATAATAGTAAAATAAGATTTTAGCCAATATCTATATCGTCTGCTTACTGCGAAATCCAAATACATAAATGCACTTTTTTACGAAATTGAGTTATGAACACAATTATACGTAACTTTGTGTGCTCTTAACAGTAAGTCATACGGTTGCAAAGATAGTTAGGATGAAAACTTTATAATTACACACATTTTATTAAAAATATACAGGAAAAACATTATATAAAATCATAATGCATATGTTTCTTTGTTATTTTAATTATTATTATTCCTGGCTATTGTAGCTACTTGAATTCTTTAAATGTATATATTGTATAGGTTGTTTTATTTATTAACCTCATAGTAAAGTGAAAACAATGTCCTTTACATCTTAACCAAAGTGTATCATTTTGTATGGTGAAAAGCTGAATAAGAGAAAAAAATAACAAATTCTCTTCAAGCAAAAAGTGATAAATGATAAAAAAATGGTATTTATAGCTGTATGTCTAGCTTTACACAGTGTCAAAATACTAAAGTTACTCTCAAATACAAAACACGACAGCATTAAGTTGAAATTAGACAAATAAAACGGTAAATTCCGAAGATACAATACATTCCATAATTTCAGGCAAAACGTGATAAATGCACACCCTCCTTTGTTAAAATTCAATTTAAAACAGTATTTACTATTACAGCACACAAAATATATCTATAAAAAAGTTGTTCCAACTTTTTTCAACAAAGATCAGCCTGTGAAAGATTTTAATATTACTTTAAGAGGAGCCCAAATGTTTAAAATCGATTTACTCAGAATGCCACTTATTCGGTTTCCGCACCAAGCAGACGATATAGGCTTTGCCGGGCCGAAGTATTTACTATGAATTGTACTCAGTCGCTATACAATACAACTACAACCATACAACTCTAACAATGTGTCTACTTATAGGAATTTCATAAAAAAATGTGTCGCAATGACCTTCTATTGGTACTTATATATATTGTTTCTTTCGGCTTAGGAGGCAACCGACCTCTGGTCCGTGGCCCACATTACACGGAATAGGAACACTAGTGGCAAAGTTGTACAAATACGTGGGCCAGAATACCATGGGAAAAAAAAAATATCTATCTATAATACATTATTATAATATATATATATATATATATATATACTAGTTGTCTCAGCGAACTTCGTACCGCCATAAAAAATAGGGGTTGGTGGTAGAAGGGTGAAAATTTAGGGTTGTATGTATTTTTGTACGATGTATCATAAAAAAATAAAAACAAAAAAAAATGTCGAAAAAAAAATTTAGGGTAATAAGGGGGATAAAAAATAGATGTTGTGATTCTCAGACCTACTGAATATGCATATAAAATTTCACGAAAATCGGTCGAGCCGCTTCGGAGTAGTTCAATTACGCACACCGTGACACGAGAATTTAATATACCTACTACCTACCAGTGAACTTCGTACCGCCATAAATATAGGGGCAGGTGGTAGAAGAAAAAATTTAGGGTTGTATGTATTTTTTAATACCACATTATAACAAAATAAATGTCCAAAAACAAATTTTAGGGGTGTGTAACGTAGTGTTCCATCAATTTCCTGGGATAACATTCCTCCTCACCCATATGAGAACACTACCTTACAATACCCAATAGTTTGAATTTTGGCGCGAAGGCGCATTGTAAGTTTCAGAACAAAAGGATATGAAAAATAGATAGCAGCCGATTCTCAGACCCACGGAATATGCATATAAAATTTCATAAAAATCGGTCAGGCCGTTTCGGAGGAGTATGGTAACTAACATTGTGACACGAGAATTTTATATATAAGATTAGATATATATTTAGATTTGACATTTATTAATTTTAGGGTGGTGAGGGTGCAATCCTAAGTGGTCTGCCTCACCTAGGAAAAATATCTAGTTACTCCCATAAATAAAGTCAAAAAAGGGGAAAACCTGCAAACACACAATCAAAAAACACTTATCTATTATAGGTACCTTTTCCTGCAGTTCCAATTTAGCAATAAGACTATCTACCTCTTCTCGCAGTGTTTCACCCTGATACCCTTTTAGACGAGAGAAAAACTCTAAATGTTCTTTGACGGTAAGCTCGTTGAAAAGTACGTTGTGCTGGGGGCAAAGACCGATGTGGCGGCGTGCTTCGCTTGTATGCCAGGCCATGTCATAACCAGCTACCATAATAGATCCGCTGGTTACTGGCAAATTACCTTTGGGAAAATAATATGTAAATTAGTCCTACCTTACATTATCATAAAAAAATGGTTGCCTGTAAAGTCGGTTTTACGGGCGAAGATTTTACGTGACAACGTCTTTTTCTCGGTAGAATATTTATTGATATGAATATAATTAAATTGCACAATAGGAACAAGGAATTGAATGAAAATAAGAATTGCACAAATTTTAACTATAGAAATATATTTTGTTTACTAAAACATTGTACATGTAAACTTAAACTTAACACGAGAGACTCATCGTAACGTTACCGAGCGTTACACTTTTTCATAAGTGACTCCCAGCCGCAACCTAATTTAAGACGTTGTCACGTCAAAAATATAAATCAAAACATCACAAAATATTTTGTCGCTCACGCAGGTGTAGTGAGCCCACTATACTTGCGATTTCAGCAATTTCTTAGTGACTTTCGCAATTACTAAATTTGACTTGCAAGCAAGCACCGGTGAAACTACATTCTAATACTTACAATCCTACTAATATTATAAATATGAAAGTTTTTGTGTTTGTTACTCAAGCACGCGAAAACTACTGAACGGATTTGGATGAAATTTGGTACACCTATAGCTTATGACCTGGATTGAGACAGTTATTTATTGACGGAAAACTGTCAGGATCCTGAGGAATTTTCAAAAAACTGAAGAGGATGCGGACGAAGTCTCGGGCGGCCACTAATCTTGTTTAAGAAAAAGTTCGAAATGTAAATCAGCATACTCAGACAACATATATATAGCTTACTCTTAACTTTCAGAGTAACGAAATGAGGCTTTCTGTCGCGTGCTAAAACTTTTCATCGCCGTTTTTATTTCCATGAACACGAGAAGCTTTATCTTCTTAGCTTGGAATCAATGAAATACTAAGGTAATATCAAGTAGGTGCCCGTACCGGATTCTTCTTATGAGTATTAAATATCAATGGGAAGTATCCTACATAGGCATTATACTTAATGAAGTTAATAAGAAATTACCTGTCAACATTGAAATTGTGGTAGATTTTCCGGCACCATTGTGACCAAGCAGCACAGTTATTTGATCATCATATATGTTCAATGATAAATTATTTACAGCAACATTGTTCCCAAAGACTTTAGTCAAATTCTGAAAAAAAAATCATAATATTAATGCCTACTTAAATATCACTATTTTTTACAGTAACGATCGACAAAGCTATAAAAGACTTCACAAGAATATATATTTCTGTTAACCGACTTAAATACTAGTCCTACGGCAGCCTCCGTTGGATGGATATAGGTATGTAAATTGATTTCCAAAAACCATCGCATACAATCACCTTGCAATATAGCTTCATCCAATGATCAAATTTCCACACTTATCTCCTTTATGAAATTTCTATCAACATGGAAAATTTACTTGTACTTATTCCTTGTTTTTGTTAACTCTTTTTTTTCTCTTTATTTGTGGCTACAAACAGTAACTCCTTGTGTAGCACAGAAGCATCATAGAACTAATGTAGGTTTTTTTTGAGCATGTAACTGCATGATGTTTAAATCTAAAGAAAATATAACTAGAAAAAATTCCACGCGGACCAGGCAGCAGACGGGACTCGAAACCGCACCCCTCGCAATCCGGGCGAATGCACTGACCAATTATGCTATCGCGGCCCCGATGGCCGCGTCGAAATTATTCTAGCCATTCTTAAGCTACAAGGCAGCGCCATCTCTTCGCATTATAGGTAACCCACACTGTCAAATGAATACTTTTACAAGTATTAAACATTTGAAAGAAGAGATAGCATTATAGTTATAATGTTTAATACTTGTAAAAGTATTCATTTGACATTGTGGGTTACCTATAATGCGAAGAGATGGCGCTGCCTTGCAGCTTAAGAATGGCTAGAAGAATTTTTCTACTAATGTAGGTATTTAAAGTAAAGAAAGTGGTTAAAATTATTAAATACTTATGAAAAATATAGGATGCACTCACTGTAATTTCAACGCCAACTGCATGATCCAGGGGGTCTAATTCCTTTGTTATTTGAGGTGTTTCCGGTATTATCACGTCTGCATCTAAAACGATAAAAAGTTAAGTGTTTTTTTTTTTTCATATTTTGCTAACTATCTAAATGCGAAATCATCAATATCTACGTACCTGATTTAAATTTTCTATTACGGAACCAAAATTCTATTTGAAACAGAAAGTACCACTTTTTCGGCGTACCATAAGGCCCTGGTAGTACTTGTTCAAAATAAAGGGCTACAAGCATGTATATGACGCAGTTAACTACAAGCATTATTACCACATGACCGAACAGCAGCCGTGACGTATCCATCGTTGGTGATGACATGAATTCACCCCATTGCATACCTAAAATGATATTCTAATTGAACAAGGTATTTAATAAACACAACTCATTAAAAACCGGAGGAAGGTTTTGACTTTATCAGATTAATAATATTTACGCATTTAACTGCTAGATTTATATACCTTATCTTCTAAAATATGTAGTCGAATCAAGTTTATTTTTTCTTGTTAAACTGAATCGTTTTGTAACATCCAGCAAGCTTACCTCCTGTGCTCTCTCTCGCCAACATGAGTTGGAATCCGTAAGACATGGCAGAGTTGATACTGAGGCAAGTGAGGATCTGGACCGGTATTGACATATCAATATCCATTGCCAACATAAAGGCCGGTATGTATGTCATGTACCATACAATACCCGCGAAGAGTGAAGCTGTACTTCCTGCACAATAGCCAAAAAGTATGAACAATATCATAAAATAAGGTCTATTTTTCTCACAGACAATGGATACTTAACTCTATTTACCTTTTGAAAAGAAACTACTCAACATGAAGCAGAAAAATATCATGCATGCCAAATATAAAAGCAAAAAAAATAGCAACACACTCCAGGGTGTATTTGTGAACACAGCGTAATCACTATATCCGTCCTCGTTAGTAAACCAATTAACCTGTAGAATAACAGTATTGAAAATTAATAGCGTATCTTATAAATAACGGAGAAAGTTTGTACATCTAAAATGATAAAATTATTGAAATGTTTACCTTTAGAATAATTAATATAAGTACTGCTGCTATAAACAAATAAATAAATTGTTTACAAAACCAGGCTGTCCAATGTATCCAGGTCGGCATACCCATTATCTTCAATGTTTCCTAGAATCAAAATGTGTTTAAATTAAAGTATGATAGATAATTTAAGAACCCATAAGATTAACAGTTAATTGTCATACAATTCAAACTAGCCACACACATACTATATACTTTGAAAAAAAAAATGTGAGCAGCTGTCGAGATTCCAGCACTAAAACATAATGCCGATTTGCGAATTTCTTGATGATTCTTCTTCAGTCGTGTGGTCATTCGTCGTTTTTTTTATATCACTATCGATATTTGGTTATTCCTACCTATTATTTTTTATTATTGTCCTGAATTGTTGTAAATGTCAAGGATATAACAGATTATAGGTATATACACCTACGTTGTATATAAAAATATGGTTAATAAAATATAATTACTTTTATTTGTAGTTCTTTTTCCACGGTAACGGCTCTTGTTATGTTTACAGCTGCATAACTAAAGCTAAGCAAAATGAAGGTGGGAAATAACATCTGAAGTGCATCAACAACTAAGTCATACATGAAGGATGGATGTGGGTATCGTTGGAGATTTACATTGAATGACATCAAAGCAGATTCTCCAGTTAACTTTGATACTAGTGTTGTCGAGATCATGTGTTGTAACGCTATGAACATTTCGGGAACATATCCTAGAAGAATAAAATTGCCAATATTAATATTATATTAATTATTTACCTGCTCAGGTTATTGTTACTGGGATTAAACTGAATTATTACCTGGATCACGACCGCCATTGCGATTGTAACTCCTTGGTCCCGGAAGTTCGAAAATAGGAAACAAGAGGTCAGTTCTCCAAGTCCGTGAACCCAATCCAAAGAACTGATTAATTCGCGATCTTGCAGGAAAACGTAATGAATATGTAATATTACTAGGTAATTGAGCAGCACCTAAAAATTTATGACATTGTATAATAAAATAAACATTACCCAAAGCTAATTTTAGCAGAGATTGGATTCCCTTATGCAATAAATAATTTTCACATCCAAATTAGTTTTTTTATGGCTGATTTATGCCGAAGCAACAAAATATGATAGTACCTCCAGCCCTTTGAGTATACTCAAAGCTTCAGCCTCATGCTACATATTTTGGCGTGGGACATCTGTGGTATGCTGCCAATGGAAAAAATCTGCTTCATTTGCAACATTCAGCAGCCTATTTAAAGCCGACGCAACATCATGCTTAGATTATTTTCAAAGCATTGTGCTGTAAAATATTGTGTTGCCCCCGTGTAAATATCAGCCTTTATGGCATTCATTCACCTACCTAAAAGTCTATCCTCAAATTCTACGGCTGCTATTACACTTCGGGTTGTCCTTTCGTCATCATAAATACTTCTGAGGTCTGCACTAGTGTTATATGAATCAACTCTTATTAAAGATTTAATAATTTCCAAAATAGTACTAGTCAAATTTCCATGATCTGGTATAACGATTCCTGGCGGAAGATTTATTTCCGGGAAGTCAACGTTGTCTTTTATAATATCAGCAACATTGCGAATTAGTAAATTCACAACAGCTGATCTAATAACATCATCCAAAGCTTCACTCTTCGGAGAGTAAGCAATTGAAAGTTCTCGGTGATTCAGTTCGGTACTGAAAGAAATGTTTCATAGTTATCATAAAGTTGGAAGGGTGGAGAGAATTTCTTCAACGTATGGCCAAGATATAAAATCGGATTTGAGCGGTCAGCACACAGCAGGATCCGAGTGCTAGGATGGCAATGTTCTTTCACTAGTACATACTTATATGGATTTTTGTACCGCGAGTGTGTTTTTTCGTTATTTCACAAGGTTTTATCAAATTCCAGGATATTGATCAAAAACATTTAAGGAAACTAATAAAGATTTTACTAGAGTGGCTGTGAGGAACAACACTCACGCCGCAAATGCCAGCGCTTTACTGACTACTACGAAATGTACTGGATGAGGCATTGCTACTAGCCACCTCACTCCAATTACATAGAGTGATGAGCACTGAATGTATTAAGGATGATTTTCAAAATTACGAAATAAATATCAATATAACTTGTAAACACTGGAAATAAATCTACTTATTTATTACGCACGTCACTGAAAGGGCTAATTAATTTCTATGAAATATAATTTAGATAAGGTTTTTCTGTATAAGTGAACTTACACACTACACTAATGCTCGATGCTCAGTAAGGACCTCAATGGCGCGGCTGGTTAACAACGCGTTCGGCTGCGATCGTTGAAGTTAAGCAACTTTCGCAGTGGTCGGTCATTGGATGGGTGACCAAAAATCTTCTATCTCGAGTTTCTCCTTGCTTCGGAAGGCACGTTAAGCCGTTGGTCCCGGCTGCATCTGCAATCGTTAGCACCCGCCAATCCGCACTGGGCCCGCGTGGTGGTTCATGACCCAATCTCCATATTGCAACCATAGGGAAGGCCTGTGCCCCAGCAGTGGGGACATTAATAGGCTGATGATGATAATGAATTTACACAGATGTTTCTCGTGTAAAAAAAAAAAGGTACTAATATTATAAAAATATGTTATATGTTCGATCACGCAAAAAGTTTTGTGTGAAATTTATTATCTGAATTGAGACAAAGGATGCTTTTTATCCCGCAAAAATGTTAAGTCCCTGGGGGATTCTCAAAGAACTGAAGTTAACGCGGACGAAGTCGCTGGAGGCCGTCAGAAGAAAGTAATCCAATTATCCACTACACTACTAACAAACTTCAATAATATAGTATTCCTGCTGTGCTCAAAAAGCTTGGTTAGTTATTTTCGAAGCTAATAAAAAATACTTACTACACCAATATCGAAGTATTATCGAGATCTATCGAGTGAGCAGGAAACGGGGTGAATGTAGATATCGGCCTAATCTCTGGTTCGATTTGCCATCGTAGTAGCAATACCAAGCACATGGTGGCCACCGGCAGGAGCAGTTCCAGGACTGTCTGTATAGGGTGCCGCAATTGTTGCAGGAAGTTTTTCCATGTTAGGAGCCTGAATTTAGTCCAGGCTCCCGCACCGCGACCGCTTCGCCGAGCTTCCATTTATTTTTCTGCAAAAATTAAAAATGAACTGAACTTCTTGAATGAAATGTAGTGGGAATGATTATTACTAGTTGTGCCCTCTAGCGCTATTCTCAGGGGCGTATTAACAGAGCATAAAAAACGTAATCATACCGAAAGTGCCATGCCAGTGCATTTTTAACTAATAGAACTTTTCACACACGTGTATGTGTCTCATAATATGTGAAAAGAAGAAGTGACCTCATTTATCAGTATTATAATATGTATTTTTTTGATTAATGTAAAAGGTTTTAGAACTAGCAAGTCCAACAAAAAACCATTTTGTAGGTCTCTTCAAAAGCTATAAGCTGATGTATGCTTTTCAAAAGTTTTGAGCTATATGTGCAAACTTGAATCGGTCATGTCTTACTATTTTTTTGTGAAACAGAAATAGAAAATGAAACCGAAATGTTTAATAAGAAAAATCCTTCAATTTTCAATCCTGCAAAATTTTGCTATCTTTCATTGTTTACGAGTTATTTTTGAAGATAGGCTATTTTTGCAAACTTGCAAAAAAGCTCCCTAAACCATTTTTTTTAAACTAAGCTCTTCAAACCGATTAAGCTTATAAGGCATACAAGTACACAAATAAAGCAAATTATACAGTGGTACCTAATGATATTTTCAATTGGGGTGGTAATAAGATGGTTATTGATTTATTTTTTCGACAAAAACTAGGATCCAATTTAGTCTTTGACATATCTAGCTTAATTTTTATACTAGGAACTTCCAGTATTCTAAAACAAAAAAAAATTTTTTTCAAGCAATTAAAAAAAGTTCTACAATTTTTGGTTATTTGTCGTTGAAATTTTCGGTTATGGTGTTTGACGAAGAAAAACCAACCTTTAACACGTTATTACTCCGCTAGTTTTTAATCAAGTAGTATTTTAAACCCACCATTTTGTTTGTTTATTTTATAAGTTATAATTTTTCTCAAAATATATTTTAATGAATACTTATTTACAGAGTTAATTATGAAAAGCCGTCGGAAAATGAGAGTGGATATTTTCAAATTTCATGTTGAAAATATCCACTCTCGAATAAGTTGAAAAGTATTGCCTATCCCTAAAAACTTTATACAGGACAAAAGTTGCTTAGAATTAGAGTATCCATTCCCATTCTTATTTTCAATAAAATATTTAACACTTTGATAAAGAAGGTAAGTAGAACATACAGCCAAATTTTGGTGGTAATCGGTGTTGTTTGGTAGAATTGCTAGGGAAAGGCGCCACTCGCGCCCAATACTGTTCTGTGGCTGAACTCATGCTTAAAAAGAAATATAGTTGCAAAAAGCGCAGCTTTTCACAGTTTCCACACCTAGGATGCACTCGTCTTTTGGTTGACATTACCCACACCTAGGATATCGACAAGCAGGGCGAGTTGTTGGCCATCAGCCTTGACATCGCCAAAGCTTTCGACAAAATCTGGCACAAAAGCCTTCTCTCCAAGCATCAGGCATATGATCTGCTTGTTCAGTTCTGGTCCTGGGTAGCTGATTTCCAGCATAAACGTCCTTACGGATAGAAGAGGTTCGCGGTTCATGTCAGCGTGCTTAAGTGTTCCGTCTTATCCCCTATGTTTTCTCTGCTACACAACAATGATTTAATCTCTCTTTGGAATATTCATTGCTGTGCAGACTATAGTACCTACATGCATGCGGGATATTTCGGATATATTCACTTATACATATACTCTGTTAGTAAATATTTAAAATAAAAAATAATACTGGAGCCTTATAATAATATCACAACTATGCTGTATATGGAAGTTCGCTGTGACTTTAATTTAAATAACTACATCAAAAGCGTGATTAGAACAGCCTCACACAAACTCGGTTGTCTTAACATAGAACGGCGGTTTTTCAATTCCCTAACAACCGTGCTTGTTATACAAGTCGAGTAGAATATTGCTCGATGCTTTGTATAGGTTACAGTGGCGCTCGACACGCATCATTGGCAATAAGGAGGTGATTAAACACCTCCAGCCTCTTCAATTACGCCGTGATGTGGCATCATATAGAGAGTCCCATCGTATAACCACAACGTGAGTTCTAGGGAGTTATAGTCCATTATCCCACCTTCACTTTTCCTCCAGAAGACCACGTGTCTGGACTTCACCGTTACTTAACATCAGGTGGGGTGGTGTCATTTGTCGGAACTTTTCATAAAAAAACCATATATAATACCTAAATAGTAGTAGACGACAACAGCTCAAGCAACTCATTTCCGATCATGTCGCCTCATTAAAATGAGAATGCAAAGAATGCTATTTGATGAGAACGAAAGGCAAAACCGGAAATGGGGGGTAGCTAGAACTGTGGCTCACTGTACCAGCTCGCATTTAGTCAGGTCGAGAGGTAGATAATTTTTCACATTTAAGTTAAAAATAATAAAAATCCCTAAAATTGGGTGTTACGGGTTTAAACTCAAAAGACCCGTTTTTTACCCACCTGGGTTTACACCCAGGTAGGGATTTCCCATCTGTAGTGGGTGACATTTACCTGGTAAAACGATTTATCGCGATTTTCGGTAAAATGTTAAATGGAAAAATTCAAGGTAACTAAACGATCATGACTTTTGTATTTAAGCACTTGTTTTCACATGACCAAAAAATATCTGCGAAAAATTAAAAGAACCTACTTTTCGATTTTTAATTCTCATCTCCCAAAAAGTAATGTTTACGAATTTTGGTGAAACTTACCTTTTTATTCCCGAACACGCTCTAATACTTTGGCTCAAAATATTTATTTTTACTCATTAATCCAAAATGGAACTAAAATAATAAGTGTACGTAAGAAATAATACGTGGTTCATGTTTTGGAAGTCGGGTGGGGTCAAGATTGAATCACGTATTTACCGACTAGAAATGAAAATCTCCATGTTTCCATCTCGGTCCCGCCTGACTTCAAAATCATGAAGCACATAATAAATTTTACTTTTTAGTTCCATTTCGATTTTGAACTCGGTTTTATTTTTAGTTTAAAAATATTTTTTATTTCATCCATTTAAGTCATAACTAGTTACATCGTCCAAGAAAACAACAAAAAATGCCCATTAAATAGAAACTACGGGGTCAAACTAAATATTGTTTTTATAGTATCTCCCATCGAACAATAAAATAATCAGTCACATCGGATCAGAAATCTTGAATTAATCGGTGTACATATAAGCAAAGTATTGTGAAAATTACATCGTCCAAGTAACAAAAATGCTCAAAAAATAAAAACTACTGAACCAAACTGGATTAAATTTTTATAGGACCAAATGGCAACTATTTCGCATCGATCGAAAAAAGAATCACGTCAATCGGATCAGTAATCTCGGAAGGGGATACCTCTGATGCCTAAAAGCATCCCCAAGTTGAGTGGGTCTGTTTAAGCCGAACACTCACTATACTGGTGGGGTCGCGGAAGTATTCTGCAGGTTCCCGTGACCTCACCCACTACTTTGCCCTAGCCGGGTGGGGTACCGCCTACTGGTGAATCTTCAACCCGACGAGATCACGACGCTTTGGTGAGATCACCCCTCATCTCATTTGGTGAGCTGATCCTTTGCTAATTCACTCCTAATAAGGAATTCAAGTGAATCTCTAGACCCAGCGGTTTGGGCTATGCGTTGATATATCATATATCAATCATTCACTCAGTCTGTTTCTTCTTTTGTATATTATATCTTCTGTTATAGATTTAGGTACCTACTACTAAAAATCTCTATTTTAGTAGTAGGTATTACTAATTTCTTCTGTGTATGGGCTTGCCTTTGACTACTACTTATTTTGTAATATAAAGGGCAGGGCCACATGTTATTCATTGTGGGATAGATGGGATTTGTGTTATTCAGTTTTTCCATGCCCAAAACTATGTAGCTCTTTAGCGTGTAAATAGTGCAATCAAGCAATCTTTATATGATCTCCTTAATTTGACATCTAAAAGCGTTCGCAAAGAAAAACTTAGATACCTAAATAAAAAATGCAAGCAAAGCTCTTTACTTCACAATAATGTAACCTATCCACCTATGACCGACATGTTATTTTTGGACATATCCCAACACGCTAGTTTCTGTTAAAAACACAGCATAGCGCAGCAAAGCTCTATGTTGATTGGTCATCCTAACCCTGGGTACGTCACTGTTTTTTTAATATACGTTTATAAAGTTCTGTTGTGGTTCGATTATCTCTTTGACGCAAAGGCACACAGCTAACGTGATAGTAGATAAAATAACAAGTCCTATGTTAGATCGCCGCCAAATATTTGTTTTATCCTATTAAACTCCAAGTGAGTTTACACTATTGTAATCATTGTATCAGTTAAAAATAGCGAGTTAGCTATCTTCTTCAGTCAGAAAAATGAAATACATTAAAACCAGCTTAAGACGATATGCGGGATAGGGGAAAAAACGTAATACATATTAATATTTATTCTATTATTATAATATATTCTTTTCTATATATTATATTCTATTATTATTTCGAATGTATTGTAAGTATTGAGGTAATAAAGGTACAATATTTAAGAATGATGTACGTTATAAAAAATAGTTTATTACTTATTACGTTATTTAAAATAATCACTTATTTTAGTTTCACAAAAAGATTTCGAGGCATTAGCAATTACAAGATTTTCAACATAATTTAATTTTTCAATGCGTCTTCAAAGAAGTTACACAGCGGCAGCATAATCACTTAGGGCCTCTTCTTGTGTGTTATCAAGAAGTAATATGTGTAGTACGTATTGGCGATTTAGGCGTATTAAACGGGATGACGAATCGTATTAATCATTAAGTAATGTATGAAAACATGTCTCAAGTTAGAGAGACTGACGTAAAATGGCGTATTATACGAGAAATCCTATTAAGCGTGATCGTATTAAACGGGTTCTACTGGTTCTACTGTATAATATCGATCGATTTGGCAATTGCGGGCCAAGTTAATTAAAAATTATTTGCTGAGCACTTACCAACTTATTTACTTAAGAACTTTGTAACACAATAGACATTTCGAAAACTATTCATTTAAAGCGGATAAAAATTGTTAAATGTTTGTAAAACTAATTATTACACTTGTCATAGAACAAGATAATTGCTCATTACTTATTTCATATTTTAAAACAAAATATTTTATATTGTATATTTATAAGTACTATACACAGTTACAGTATTGTAGTAGCAGGAACGTATAACGGCAACTTAAAAATATAACACAGGCAACCAGTTAATGTCACACACACTGCTGCTCTGAAAATATTTAGTTACTAATTTCTTTGCAAAATTCACACTCATACTAAAGTAATGATTAGTCCAATATGCTCATATCATTGTATTATCAATAGATAATGTGTACGTACGCGAAAGATAAGCTTTTGAAATAAAACGTACATTAGAAAATACCGGTCGGATGAGTACCTAAATACACTTACATGGATGATTATTTTTTAAATACCGGCAAGTGTTTGTCAGAAGTATGCAGAGACTTGACCAAAATTAACTAATAGCTACAGTGGCGGCGCTAGACCACATGTGGACGTCGGCAACATCAAGTTCGCGAGGCCTATTTTAATTCGCAATAAAAAACCGTTAAATTAAGTGAGCCAAATTATAAAATAACGTATGAGTAAACGATTTTTATTGTTGATAATCAAATGATGACAAAAAATAATTACAAACATAGAAATTTAATTACAAAAATAGTGTTGTCAGACAGACGATTCTGAATACCCGTATAGTACTACTCGCTTCCATCACGCACGTGTTCGAAAATAATAAAAGTCATTATCATCTGCTTAGCTTTTTCCCCGAATTGTTCGGGGTCGGCTCCCTAAGCCAGGCCAGGAAAAACGAAAATAAATAGGTAACTTGTAAAAATTTTTGCGAGGCCCCCTCAGGCGCGAGGCCGTCGGCGGTAGCCGACGTCGCCGACGCCTAGCGCCGCCACTGAATAGCTATGCCAAATAACACTTTTCTAGATGTATTTCTGTATTTCAAGAGTTTCCAAATATATAAAAATTGAAAGTATTCAAAGACTATTTATCAACAGCTTTAACGAATGTTAGCTATTGTCCCTAACTGTACTTTTGATCAAACACTCAATTCCTTATTTTTAGTCCCAACTTACCACTCAAAATAATTATTAAACAGAGGTGTCATTCGGGACCACCAGCTTCGGTCCAAAATGCCGCCTCAAAAATAATTATGAATTTAAAAGGGGCTTTCGGGACCGCGGTCCTGGTCGCATATGACTACCGACACTTGAGTTCTAATAACATCTACCTACATACAAAATTGCCATGAATATCAGTAATTCACGCTATAAAAGCGTCGCCATGTTTTGGATATAGGATTTTTATAATTTTTATTTTTTAAGCATGCTTATCTGCTTGATGTTTAAATCTAAAGTAATTATAACTAGAAAAAAATCCACGGGGACCAGGCAGTCCCGTCTGCTGCCTGGTCAGCGTGGATTTTTTTCTAGTTATAATTTCTTTAGATATAGGATTTATGTTTGATTTGGTCCGCGGGAAAATTTTATGTCCTGCTGGGCTGGGATATCTATTCAAAATATCTACTGATGGCAAAATATGCTATTCTCGTGGAATTTCGATATTCCAATGATATTACATTCGTTCACTGACGAATGCGTTCCGTTTTTATCGATTAAGTTAACATCACAGTCGATACAAAATTAAAATAAATTAAAGCAGTATTTTAGCAAAAAAATATATATTTTATATTGTATGAATGCTATTCATATTAAACACGAGTACATATTTTTGAGTATAAGAAATTGAGATTTTTTGGGGAAAAAGTTGAGAAACTTTTCCTAAATTGTATGCGTATAGAATTTCAACGTTAAGTATAATGAAACGTCAATAAATAAACGTCATACATTACTTTATTCATAGATGAATGATTGGTCTGAGTGAAGCGAGACCAATCATTTATCTATGACTTTATTTGTCACTGTAAACCAAAGAGTACTTTTTATATATGGAAACTGTAAACATAAGTGGGATTTTTTGAAACTTATAATTTCTCTAGTTTAATTCACCATAGCAAAAACTGAAAATTTCCGTAAAATAAATAATAGGTAAAAAAAGTGAAAATGTCATGACTGACAAGCCAAGATGCATAGATATATAAATGTCGAAGGCTCTTTACTAGTCGATGTATGTCTACTGATCATCCGTAGATATATATCTATTGCGACATGGTGAGAATAGGGAAAATGGTTTTCCTTCGATAAAAGCCAGTTCATTCGATGTATATCGAAGGTGATATAATATCTACGCCGCGAGAATGTTCTTTTGGAAAAGTTGGCACTTCATCACGTCGCACCAGGCACACTTTTCTTTTCCACACTCGCTCCACTAATTATGCTCAAAATGAGCCACTCACACGATTATCCAATGACTTAAACATTTTAATGTCGTTGATACTTTCATGAGGACAAAACGTACCTTTAGGCAGTCCATTGTGCCGCTCCTAACCTAAGTAGGTAATGAATGGCAGAGAAAAAGATCATTTAATTTCGTGTTTTGTTGGATTGATTAACCATATTTTTCCAAAATAATAAGAAGTTTAGTGATTGTATGTATATTTTGTTGCTTCGTTATATGTTAGAGTCTGTGCGGAAAGAGCATGGGCGTGGCGGAAAACGGAACTAACATTAAGATTTTTATTTAGCAATCAAACCCAGCAATCTGTAAAACGTCAAAGTTTTGTATTGCTACGGATTTGTTTGTTGTTGTCATTTCTTACGATTTTTTGTATTTAATCATCTCTACAGCGCCCTCCAATCTAAATCCCATTCTCTTTCCGCACAGACTCTACACACATTGTATGCATGTTGCTTTATACAGGGTGTTTCAAAAGTCCGAAATAAAAGTTAAGAGTGTTGTAATTAATTAATATAGTTCTTTATAAAGAAAAGAATTACCTACGAAAGTTTGACGCCTTTCAGACCACTTTTATATTTTGCTTAATTTAATAAAAATATTGTTTTACACCAGCCGTTTGAATCGACACCAGTGTATAAGTAATCACATGCACGTGTCCTACGGTTGTGTTTATAGTTTCTTATAATAATGTAGACTGGTACTTATATATTTATTTATTTCTATTTTGCAACCGAGTATCCATATGTGGTTGTAGGTAGGTGTGTAGCATGACTATGCTCTCATGAAAGTCTCTTCGGCGGTGTCGTGTGAGGCAGGTCGTTGCGTTACCTAAAAATGGTTGAGCGAAGCGATGGCTGGTTCATGCGTCATTCTCGTGAACGGGTGCTGCCAGTGGCTATAAGTCTGCTCTTGCTACATTGGGTACTATTAATCGTTGTATTTAACTTTAATCGTACATTTTTTGTATGCCTAAACAGTAGGACACAGCATTCCTAAACTTTGTTAAATCAGATTTTTTTATTTTTTATTTTATAGTCATAATTTTAATATCGTTTACATTTTATAATGGACAGTGACTTCATGACTTATCGCATATTGAAGTAATTTTTCAATTTGACGACTCTGTATATAATACAGGTTGAAAAAAAACAGCCCTTGTTGAGTTTCTTGCCGGTTCTTCTCAGTACAAGGTCTCCCGCCCCGTAGATTTGCGAACCGATGGCGTAGCTTTTCGACATTCACAAGTGCTTGTAACATCCTAGACTGAATAAACGATTTTGAATCAAGATTTTTTTTTGAGTGTGTGCGATGGACCGATACCGGTGGCGATGGACCATAAGCGTTCGCACTGGGCCCAGTGCAGATTGGTGGGTAGAATACTTTTATGAAGTGAAACTTCTTTAGGCACGCTTGACTTGGGGGTAAACTGGCGAATTGTGTTACGATTAGTGTCAACGGTGACTCATTGGTTAACAATGAACCATAACGGTCACAAAATACATGAATCTAGTGCTTGGTGGGTGATAGTGGACCCAGTGCGGATTAGTAGATGATAACAGACCTAGCGCGGATTAGTGGGTGATAAGGGCCCCAGTGCGGATTGGTGGATGGTAACGGACCCAGCGCGGATTGGTGCGTGATAACAGACCCAGCGCGGATTTTGTGGGTGATAACGGACCCAGTGCAGATTGGATGGTAACGGACTCAGTACGGATTGGTGGGTGATAACGGACCCAGGGCGGATTTTACTTCAGTCGTGTGTTCTCTTTAATGGATTAGGGAGATTGGGCCGTGGCTGGTCACGCAGGCCCAGTGCAGATTAGTGGACGATATGATGTTATATAATTAGTTTTTCAATAAAAGTTTTTATTTTTAGTAGGTTTTATTACGGTATGAAGATTGATAGTTGAAAGAAAAGTGGATTACTCACCTTGCTAAAGTCAGTAATTAATGCTCTCGTGTTGATTTACTATTCTATTGGGACAACACTCGTGCATTAATTACTCACTTTGCGCTCGCTGCAACAATTTACTATAAACTAGCAAACCAGTGAACCAAATGTTCACCAAAACCTGATTTAAAAAAAAATGTATTTAATTAATTGAGAACTTCGGAGATTTTGTGTGGTTTCGTTTGAAATTCGTGATTTCTCGAAAACCGGAAGTGCCACGTTACTCAAATCCGGTTTGTAGTTTTATCAGATTATTCTTAACTTATAACTTAAATATTCTCTTTATCTATCTCTTACGGTTTGACCGCTGAAACAGCACCACAGACGGACGGACTTGTCTAATAGATAAGAGATACTTTTAATAAAAAGAACTTATTTCATTCCACTATAAATCCATACATAATATTAAAATGGTTCAGTGTGTATGTCTGCTTGTTACCTCTTAACGCATATACCACTGAACCGATTAAGAAGAAATTAAGTATAAAAATAATTTGTCCCGGTCCGGTAAAGGACATAGGATAAGGTAATTTGTATTCAGGAAATCAACCTTTAAGGGGGTGAAAAGTTGAGTGGAAGTGGACATCTGCTAGTTAAGAAATACTTCTTGTCCTTTGCAGAAATCTAAAGTGCATTTAGGCGCTTTGCAGACGACGGGGTGTTGAACATGTATATGCTCTCTTGCATTAGCATTAAGTCCATGGTTTATGTTGTGTAGCCATAGACTACTTTTTATATAGATGTATTGTCTCTGCCCTAATCGTTCTCTTGGAAAAATGTCGTCATGTAGGGATTTTGCTGTTGCATTTAGATCGCTTGCTATCCATGTTAATATTGTTTAATTTGCATCGTATAGTGTTAAATATTACCGATTCATATTTCTTGCAAAGTGTAACATTTGTATTTGAGAATACAAGCGTATACTTTGAAAAGTGTCTGCGT